CTGGGAGTTGAAGTCCACAGTTCTGGGAATTGAAGTCCATACATCTTGTGGGAATGGAAGTCCACAGTTATGGGAATTGAAGTCCACACACCTTCAAGTTACCAAATTTGAGAAACACGGCATTAGTTGAACAGAAGTATCTATCAACCACACACTGGCTGGGGAATTCTGGGAAGGGAAGTCCACATCCCTTCTGGGAATTGAAGTCCATACACCTTCAAGTTACCAAATTTGAGAAATACAGCATTAGTTGAACAGAAATATCAACCTCACACTGGCCAGGGAATTCTGGGAATTGAAGTCCACACACCTTCAAGTCTGAAAAATACAGCATTAGTTGAAGAGAAATATCTATCAACCACACACTGGCTGGGGAATTCTGGGAGTTGAAGTCCATACCCCTTCTGGGAATTGAAGTCCATACACCTTCAAATTGCCATATTTGAGAAGCACAGCATTAGTTGAAGAGAAATATCAACCTCAAACTGGCCAGGGAATTCTGGGAGTTCAAGTCCATATCTTTTAAAGCGGAGGTTGAGAAACCCGGATTTCGGCTTTCTTGCGCTTTATGGCACCTCTTCCGTCGAGATATTATTTAGCAGGATTTTATGTATGCTCTGCACTAAATATCTTTGTGCAGCACAAGGCTTATTGTATTGCCTGGTGCTGGAAGGATGGAAGCTTGACCAATTAGCAGCTCATTGTGAGCTGTTTCCATCGCTCTTTACAAAATTGATCAATTTCCCTTCCAATTCTTCCATTTATGGTAGCGACTGAGTTTCAAGTTTTCTTTTCTTCTAATACGGTAGTATGAATTACATTGTGATTTCACCTCTGTTTTTATTGCTGTAATTGGAGTTTTGGAATAGTCCAAAGGGCAGGGTATAAAATCAGAATAACAGAATAAGTTGGAAGGGACCTTATAGGCCATCTAGTCCAACCCTCCACCCCACCCAAGTGGGTGACCCTACACCGTTTCTGTATAAAATCATACATTGCAATGTCCTACCTGTCAATGAATACTTCAGCTTCAACCATAACAACACAAGAGCAAACAATAGATACAAACTCAAGGTTAATTGCACCAAACTTGATTGCAGGAAATACGACTTCAGCAACAGAATGGTCAATGTCTGGAATACTCTACCTGACTCTGTGGTTTCTTCCCCAAACCCCAAAAACTTTAACCTTAGACTTTCTACTATTGACCTCACTCCTTTCCTAAGAGGTCTGTAGGGGGCGTACATAAGCACACCAATGTGCCTACCATCCCTGTCCTATTGTTTCTTTTTATTTTTCTTATATGTACCCATTTCATGTATTCATAACTATGTTTATGCTTATACCTATTATCTTGTAAGCAATTGACAAATTAAAAAAAAGATAGCAGTCCAGTCTCTTCTTGAATCAATGCAATAATAATCCTAACCCCTGTCCTAGGTAATTTCTGCTTAGGAGTTCTTACCTATCTGATACTCACCTGAGTTGGCCAGCTGCTAGGAAAGAGAATTGCTTTGTCTGAAAAGAAAAAAACATAGAGATTTATGTAGGTAAAACGCTTGGGAAAAAAAGAACCCAAAATATTTCAGGCTCTGTGGAGTGGAGGGATGTGATATAGGGAACTCTGGGGTACAGAATTCAAAGTTCTACTTGGTAGTAATAAACAAATTTCCCCTTTAAGTCCCAAAGGTGCTTTTTTTTTTTTTCAAGAGGCAACTGCACTTTCTTGTTTTTCTTTGAAGACATTTCACTTTTCATCCAAGAAGCTTCTTCAGCTCTGAATGGTAGGGAATGGAAGGATTTATATACTCCTTGCAGATAGCTGGTCATTTGCACCCTTTTTAGAGAGCTGTTGAGGCCACTTGGACGTTGATCTGTGTCCTGTGGAAATCTAAGGGAGGCCACAAAGATCGCCTCCGCACCCCCTGCCACCCCCGATCTGAAACTTTGCTGCATCTTTAATAACGACACGGATTTAAAGATGGAGGAAAGCCCATCAAATTTGCCAAAATCATAAACAATATTCCAAATGAGGTTGACTGCTGGGGAAAGACACCGGCTGCAAATCACAGAAAGGCAATTTAAAAGACACAAGCCCAATCGCTTGGGAAACTATTGAAATGCACCGATACGTGGTGTGTGTGTGTGTGGGGGGTGATTTTAAGCTGGATAAAATATTTATGCACACGAGGCCATGGGGAGGACAACAGGGCTGGGATGAAAGATGAGCTTCAAATATTTCGAATCACACGGGGTCCCTTTTCTCTTTCCTTCCATGCGGTGTCATTTGGGCGTTGCGTGTATTTATGGAAAATACCTTGAAATGCTTAAAAAAGTGAAACTTTCCTTCCGTCCAGCTCCTGTTGACCTTATGGGCATCTGGAGTCAGCAGCGAATGAAGTCTTTGCAAATGAATGAATGAATGATGAATGAATGAATGAATTCTTTATTGTCCAAGGGTGATTAGACACACAAGGAATTTGTCTTGATGCATGTGCTTTCAGTGTACATAAAAAGAAAAGATACATTCATCAAGAATCATCAGGCACAGCACTTAATGATAGTCATAGAGTACAAGTAAGCAATCAAATCATATCAGGAAACAGTCAATATAATCGTAAGGATACAAGCAATAAAGTTACAGTCATACAGTTACAAGTGAGAGGGGATCAGAGGTGCTATTTAAGCAGGTTCTGACCAGTTCTGGAGAACCAGTAGCAGAAATTTTGAGTAGTTTGGAGAACCGGCAAATCCCACCTCTGACTGGTCTTGCCCCCATCTCTTCTCTGCCTCCCATTGAGTCCCAGCTGATCGGCTGGGTCTTCTTTTGTTGCCCTGCACAGGAGAACAGAGCTGGAAAGCAGGTTGGTGGGTTGGGAAGGGAATGGGGATTTTGCAGTATCCTTCCCCTGCCATGCCCACCAAGCCATACCCACCAAGCCACAGCCACAGAACGGGTAGTAAAATTTTTTGAATCCCACCACTGGAGGAGATGGGCGATAAGGAGGGATGAGAAGATTAATAGTAATAGTAATGCAGACTTTGTAAATAGTTGGACAGTGTTGAGGGAATTAGTTGTTTAGCAGAGTGATGGCTTTTGGGGGAAAAAACTCCCCTTGTGTCTAGTTGTTCTGGTGTGCAGTGCTCAATAGGGTCGTTTTGAGGGTAGGAGTTGAAACAGTTTGTGTCCGGGATGTGAGGGCCCTGTAAATATTTTCATGTAAAATGTTATACTACTTTATAAGGCCTTGGCAAGACAGCACTTGGAATATTACATCCAGTTTTGGTCACCATGATATATATTAAAAAATGTTGAGATTCTAGAAAGAGTGCAGAGTAGAACAACAAAGAGGATTAGGGGACGGGAGACTAAAACATACAATGAACGGTTGCAGGAACTGGGCCTGGCTAGTCTAGGGAAGAGAAGGACCAGGGGAGACAAGATAGCAGTCTTCCAGTATTTGAGGGGCTGCCCCAGAGAGGAGGAAGGGGTCAGATTATTCTCCAAAGCTCCTGAAGGCAAAGACAAGAAACAACGGATGGAAAATAATCCAGGAGAGAAGCAACCTTCAATTCAGGAGAAATTTCCTGACTATGAGAACAATTAAGAAGTGGAACAACTTGCCTTAAGAAATTGGTTGCTCCATCACTGGAGTTTTTTAAGAAGAGACTGGGCAACCATTTGTCCAGAATGGCTCTCCTGCTCGAACATGGGGGTTGGACTAGAAGACCTCCAGGGTCCCTTCCAGTATTCTATGACTCCAAATCTAGGATTCTAAATTTGATTTGTTTTAACGTAATCAGTTCTTGGCAGCTGAGCTTACTGTGTGGACCCAGCCAAGAAAGAGTTGTTGGTGGATCACCAGCAAATTTTTATTCTACTCAGACTAAATACCTGGTGTATTTTTTTTCTTCCCCCAACAGATTGACCAGGATGGGCTCACCTTGTCCGAGAGAACGCTCTACCTGGGCCAGGATGACGAAAGCGAAAAGGTAATGAAAAAAACAACAACAGATAATGTTCTGACTCAAACCCTTTTCCAATAAAACAAACACAAACCAAAGGGAACAGAAACCTTTTAATGATTCTTACAAATCCCCGGTTAAAAGGCTGCTGCAAACCAATTAACTTTGATAAACATGAGCCTTGCCAAAACTGTGCGAGGCTGCCAAGAATCACAGATAAGAAATATTTCACAACACAAGGGTCTTCAAATACCAACTAAGATACTGTAATATCCACGAGGCTGAGTTTCAAAACATCTTTGCTTCCTGCAAAGAACATCCGATTCACAGCTGTCTTTTATCTTCTTGAAGGAGGGGCCATTACCTTGCAGCCTTACTCCCGAGTCGCCTGTGCTGTTGTAGCTGCTCTTTCCTGTGAGCAATCCTGCACGTACGCACACTTGGCACAGGCTCTTCGGGAACCTCCTCATCGCTGCTGCCAGCCCCCATAATCTCCGAAGGCAGCAGTCCACTCCCTAATGGTCCTGGCCCCTCATCTGAGTCCTCGCTCTCCTCAGTCGTCCGCACCTGCTGCCGGCTAATCACAACAGATATACAGTATATCATGCCCTCCTCAATACCTCTTTGAAGAGGAGATGGCTTTGCAAACAAATTTATTCATTTATTATTTATTAATTTTTTTCATGATGCCCATCATCATCATCACCTCCTTTTTATGATCCCATCATCCCTTGCGGGGTGAAGCCTGGGCAACTGAATGCAGCAGGGTGTTTACTGGCCGGATGCTCTACCCTGTTGCCAATGCGGAGTTTTGTTCTGCAGATATATTCTCATTGTGCCCAGAGAGAAATATCTGCCTCTATCTTGGATCAAACTCCCGGCCTCCTGATTTTTTTAATGCTGCCCATCTCCCTCCAAAATTTGGGGGGTGGGGGGGCAATGCCAAGCCACCCTTGCAAAGCTGAGCTTCCTTTAACAGCAGCCGTGTCCATTTCCCACAATGCCCGGGAGTGACATTAGGGTACTCTGATGCATTGGGGGAAATTCAGAATTTTTTGCAGAACAGATGAGCCAATCATCGGTGGGGGGACTAGGTGAGTGCCTGGGAAGGCTGAGAAATGGGTGCCAAGCTGGGCTTGAGCAGGGCTGAGCATCCTTTAGAAGCAGCCGTGT